AAGTGCCTACCTAGCAGGCACAAATACTGAATTTAAGCTCTAGTACTGTCTAAATATTAAAAAAGTTTTATTGCTGATACTTATAGTTAAAATATGTAGAATAATTCTGAATCTGCTCAACATGATAATATCCTTACCACTTCAACAATCCAGGATTTGTTAATAATATTTGTGCTCAGAAATCAATGTTATCCTTTGTTTTTTATATATTTCCTGTAGAGAACTTGTATTTTTTTAGCTGACATCTGATCTGTATTTGGAAAAAAAACCCAAACAACAACAACAACAATAACAACAACAAATGACTCTGAGGTTTCTCTGGTATTTCACATCTTCCCTAATCCCTAGCTTTATTCTAAATGCATTTACTTTTTCAGAATTCCTTATGACTTTTATGTAAGCTTCTGAAGACCAGAATTTGCCTTCTAACACTACTCTTTAGGGAAAAGCTTTGCTTAACTGTTCAAAGGTTTACTTGAAGAGGGCACTCTGAATAAAATTGTACAAAATTTAAACAAAATCTCATTTTTAGTTCTGAGCTTAAGTTATAGTGATGGTTTTAAAGCCAGATAAATTCTGAAAAAATTCTGGTCTTCTGTATTTATCTGTTTTTTAATAGCAGTATTTGATGCTTAGTAGTGTTTTAAAAATGTATTCATATCTAAATTATTTCCCCCTTTTCGCATGTGTGGTACTAGAAATTGAAATTGGGGCCTCCAGATTGCTAGGTATACACACTCTGTCTCTTGAGCCACTATTCTAACCCTTTCAAAATTAGGTTATTTTTCAGACAGGATCTCATATTTTTTTTATGCTACTCAGGGACCATGATCCTCCCGTCTATGCTGCCTATGTAGATGCCATTGCAGACATACACTAGTATGCTCAGATTATTCATTGAAGTAGGTATCTCACTAACTTTTAGCCCATGATATCCCTAAACTATGACCCCAGGGATCTTTCATTCCTGAGTAGATGGGATTACATGCATGAGTAACCATACCAGGCTGGTTTTATATTTTTAACTTACTTTTTAAAAATTGTGACATAAAGTCAACTCTTTCTGAAAATTTTGATCAAATTTAGATATATCTGTTTGAAAGTATTCCCTCTTCTAACTAAAACTTTATTCTTACAAAATAAATTTTGTTTACTGTATAATGTTAGAAAGTAATTCAGACTGGAGTTAATATTTGTCAAACTATATCAGAACAATGACACCATTCTTTTCTTGAATTCCTGGTCTATCAGGATGAAAACTTCAATTTTGGATATAATGTAGTAGAAAAAAAATGATGATAATTTTAATCTAGAAATATTGAAGTGATTCCCTAGTGCTTTAAGCAGGTATTACAACAGAAAGTAGTTAATATAGGGAGAAGCAGGACACAATGAAACTGGACAGAAAAGTGTATGCCTTTTCTTATTTCATCAGCCAGTGAAGGTTAGCTCAGTGAGAGAAAAGGGGAACTAATATGTATAATGGTCAACCATGGAACTGATACTGTGTTCAACATTTTACATGTTATATTATTGTATATAATCTCTGTAGAAAGTCTCCTAAATCAAGTGGTAAGCTGTAAACATGTGTAGATTTTTATTTTGCCCTGAAACAAATATTAGTGTTTTAGGGCAGAAGCAAACTACTATAATGAGCATAGTATAGCTGCCTTTCGCTTCATGAAGGAGCAATAGTACGTCAGGAAAGAATGTAATAGTTGTGATCACAGAAGAAACCCTGGAAATGAGGATCTGGGAAGTTGTACAGGAACCACTGAAGAATTCTTGTCTTGCCCCCTGAGAGAGGGTGAGAGACCACATCACATCGTGGAAAACAATCTTCCTAGAGAAAAGAAGGCTGAGCTCTCAGGTTTAAAGCAGTAGCTCCAGGCTCTGTTCCATTTGGAAATGCGAGTCGCACTAGTCAAGAAGAGGCTCCCTCTAGTCAGTCAGCTTTAAACTTTGAGGCCAGTTTTTCTTCCTCTAGATATCCCCAACCTTGCAGAAACAAGAAAAAATAATTTCTCTACAATTCCACAGACATGAATTGAGACAGTTTTGGTACTGTTGCTACAAAATTTGTTATCATTAGCTGTATTTCCACCCCTTTATCAAGGTGTTTAATGGTGTAGGATATTATGCCTGTACTGGATGTCTTTACTTAATCATCTTCTTTATACAAAAAAGTTACTTAATAAATGTTTATAGACTACCAAAAACTATCAAGCACTATTTCAGAATTCTCTGACTCATTAACTTTACAAACTGTTTGAGAAAAAAATAGGAACTAAACACTAAGCATAATGAATTATGTAGAGTTGAAGTGCCATATAAAAGTAGAAGAGCATGAGTACCATACTCAGAGAAGATAGGGTATAACATGAAATGTATACTCCACTGAGGAGGCAAACTATTCCTGAAGATTTGTAGGAGGTGAGGGATTAGCCAAGTATTAAGACTATTTCAGGAAGTGAAAAAAGACAAAGTCCCTAAGAGGAAATAATTGCAGCAAGAAAGCCAGTGTGGTGGGAAGGAAGCCAGCAACACAATAATTACCTCAATAAGGGAACAAGCCATGAAGAGGCCATACACGTCTGCAAAAGAGATAAAGGTATAATATGCAATGCTGTGTTTGCTGTGTTGATTTTATTCTTCCCATTATACTTGTTTACTTATACTGCTTTTTATGTATATTTTTCTTCTATACAGTATTGCTCATCATTTTAAAATTTTTTGTGTTTTCATATTCCACTTGCTCTTCATCTTTTCTTACCTTCTCTCTTGTTATAGTTTTGTCCTTCACTATATTTGATCATTCTATGGTAAAATCTCACCATGTCCTATGTCCCCCTACCCTTCACACCTCCTTTTAGCTGTAAATGGGAATGTACAGTGTGTAATCACAGAGGCAGTAGTAATTTTGGCAGGTTGCCGCTCTACCTTGAAGGAAGAAAGTTTCTGCCAGAAAGGAATTACAGGAGAGCAGGCAGTCTTCCAGGTTTGGAAGGACAGTATTCTTTCCAAGAGATGCTAACTTTGCCACCTATGCTTTCAACACTTTCTTCTTCAGCACTTGAGAGGTGAAGATGGTTACTTCCCTAAACTCCCTGAGCTCTGATGAGCTTCTTAAGCTCCAAAGAGAGTTGAATAGATTCAACTTGAAATACAACTTAGCTTTTTAAAACCTTTTGTTTTATGAATTATAAAAAAACACTTTCTGAATAAAATAAGCACTAATAGTTTTGCTTTATAGCTAAACCAAGTAGCTTAGAAAGACAAAGTGATTTTTTTCAAGGTTGCATAAATATAAATGGCAGAGATAATATCTAAATATATTTTAAGTTAAACTTGGAGATCCTGCTGCTAGTCACTGCTGTGTAATTTCCCTCATAATATAACTTAACATTATAAGTAAAATACTAAACAAGAGCAGAAATAGTCCTGAAAATTACTGTTGTTGAAAAGCACTGACTCTTTACTTAGGCCTATAAGTTAATTAAAAATAGCATAAAATTGTTGCTTCTCTGTCTTCATTTTGTATCTGTATTCTTTACTCTCTGTCTCTCCTTTGCAAAAACCTTCATATCCAGCAAGAAGAGGACAGATGGATAGCTTTTCTTTACAATGATAGCTAAAACTATCTATCCTTATACAAAGCAACAACAGAGTAAGGCAGAGATAGACAGACCACCCAACCAAATGAGGACAATTACCTATAATGATGAGTTTGCACTCTGTTGTAGGAGTAATCATCTCACATTGCTTCACTCAAGTGATCATAGAGGTGATCACTGTCCTGAAAGCCCTTGCAGAACTTGGACTGAGATAAGGGTCTGTCAGATTTGGGCCTGTTAACTATGCATACCTTTCACACTTGCTTCAGTTTTTTTCTCTATTTAAATCTAATATGGATAAGCTGATAAACTGGTTTGTATACTTTGCTTCCTGTGGCATACCCATACTGTGATAATCTCCTTTCTCTGCTTTTCACCACTTCTTGTCTCTTTATTTGGTACATTTGAGTGAATGGCTGGACCTGACATATGGAAACCGGTAGTTAGATTTGTAGCCCCAATCTCTGGTTACAGAATATTCATAGCTTTGGCTAAGAATTGAATCTTTGAACTTTACATGCATTTTAATGTTCTGTAATGTTATTTGAACTAATTGCTTTTTCACTTGCCTATAAGTATCCACACAGGAAAGAAATCTGAACACAGAAACTATTTTCAGCCTCAAGTCTTTTTAGAAGATTGATTTACAATTATTTTCATATTTATAAGATTAAGGTTCATTATTGAAAAAATATATATACATACATTATCATATTTTCTTCCAGCATTAAAAATATGTTACTCTCATTTTTAATCTTACTAGAATTGGGAAGTATTTGGCTCTGCTTTTCAAAAATAAATATTACAGAATTAAGTAGAAAGATAGCCACTTCTGAAGTCAAATTTATTATGATATATTTGATATATTTTCAAAGGAACACTGTTAAAATAATACTCATTGAGTATGTAAAAGTATCATATTAATGGCATGTCTTCTGAAAGTTAGTATGACTAAACATGTTTCAGTTGAGACTTTCCTGGCTGTGCTAATCATTCCAAGGCTGCAATGACAAAGCACCATAGACGGGGTGACTTAAATTAAGTCTTCTCATCTTTCTGGAGATGAAGGGTCTACCTTTAAGAGTTACAGGGCAGTTTTGATTTTGAGGTCTTTTCTCCTGGTTGAGAGACAGTAGTCATCTTATTTTGTCTTCACATTACTTCACTGTGTTGCCTGTGCTTAGAGACGAAGCGATTGAAGGGTTCTTTAATGTCTCTTAATACTAGTTGTAATGCCACTTAACCTTAAGTGCATCCATGAAGGCCTTATTGCTTAGTGTAGGACCGTCAAAGATGGAAATTCAACATGTGAACTTTGGGAGGAGACAAGCATCCAGTTCATCATGCTGCAATTATAGCACTTAACATTTTTTTCTGTTTAAATATAAAAATATGGAATGCTTCATGAATTTGTGTGTCATCCTTACGCAGGGGCCATGCTGATCTACTCTGTATTGCTCCAATTTTAGTCTAGGTGCTGCTGAAGTGAGCACTATAGCACTTTACTATTTGCAATTGACAAAGTAAGACTGTTTTGAACTAATATATTAATATTTTCTTAAGAGAATCTTTCCATGTAATCCTTTCTCATATATAATGCTTACCTATGTCCCCATTTTGTCTCGTTTTTCTTCCTTATAAGATAAATTTGTCTATTGTTATTCAATGTTATGAGTAGTTATGAGATTTGACTTAATACATTTTTATTATTTTTAAAATTTATTTTAGTTTATTATAAAGGTTGTATAAAGTTATATAAGTAAGGTCATGAGTACATTTCTTTCAATTATTGCTGCCCCTCCCTCATTTTTCTCCCACTTTCCCTTCCCTTAATTTACTCCCCCCAAGTTGTAAAGTTCATTTCCAACATATTGTCTTGTGAGTAACACTGTTGCATTGGTTCACCCTTTGTCCTGTGTCTTGCCACTTTGTTATTCTTCACTTTCCCAAATCAGATAAATGTATAGATAATAAACAGGGAACCAAAATCAAAACAGTGACAACGGGAATAAACCAAAGGGGAAGAAAGAAAAAAGGAATAACTTCACACAGTACATTAAAACAAAAAGCAAAAAACAAAAAGATCTTGTTTCCATATCTTGTAGTTCACTTCAATTCACATCATTTTATATGGTCATGTGTATATAGTTATTGAGCTATTGTGATTCTTTGCTAGGACTATCCTCGACATATGCTAATTATTACATTTTATTTTTATGGAGCAGATTTACATTTACAAAAAATATACAGAAAGCAAATGGGATTCATTCCTTTAAAGCAGAGACATATTAGAGATGATCTTTCTGTCATGTGAGGTTACAGAAGAAGGTGAACCAAGAGGAAGCAGATTAACTCCAAGGTTTCAGACTTTTCAGCCTCCAAAACTGAGAAATAGATTTCTGCTGTTAAAGCCACCAGTGTATTGCTTTTTATTGTAGTTACCCAAGTGAAAAGAAAATAATTAAATTGCAAAATGAGAAAAGATAAGAACAAACATCTCACCAAAGGAGATAACGCAGATGGTAGATAAAAATATGAAATGATGCTTGCACATACAGGTTCTTAATGATATTCGGAAAGGCACCTGCTCTGAAGGCTTGCACTGCCCACTGAGGCCCAGCCTCACTCCTACCTTTCTACTTTCTCTGAATCTGCCTCACTCACCTGGGGGGACCTCCACTTTCTTGAAGTTTTCTTTACTTTGTCAAACTTCATTTTTTTCCCCATCCTAGATTCCAGTTGAAATCCTTACCATGATACCATTATTTCTTGGATCACATCCTCTTCATTCATCTCAAATGCCCTGGAAGGAAACATCAGACGTGAGAATTCCAAGATTTTTAAGGATGAGAAATCACATACAGACATGCCATTGGCGAGACAAAAATAGATTTAGGAGACAGGCTGGACAAAATGGCAGAGGCCAGAAATTGCTTGAATATTAAAATATTTGTAGGTTTTATTCAGACAAAATATTTAGAAAACTAAATTCTGTGGAGAAGTAATTTTCTAGAGAAATCTTAGACTATTTAAGGAAATACAATTTGTGTCCTCTAGGATAAAGATTAATCAGTGAATTAAAGCAAGGGATTGATAGAGATAAGTTTATATTTGTTCAAACATATATCAAGACTCAGGACAGATAAAAGACAAGATTAGAATTAGAAAGAAACAAAGCAAGAATGACATTGCCCCATTTGTTAGGAAATGGAAAGACTTGGAAAAAATATTCAGTGAAGTAAGCCAGGCCCAAAGAAACATAGGTCCCATGGTTTCCCTTATTTGCAATAACTAGTATATGTCTGAGCCAAGCAGAAAAGGTCAGATAAGTTGATGTTAGGTGAAATGAACCCCAAGATAAGTATTCAAATGTTTTTTTCTTTCATGCGATTGTTTCTAACATATTTATAAGATGATTTCTTTGTTGCTTTGTATGTCTCTCCCCCCATGGTATAACCCCTATTTTCACTGTGTTTGATGTTGGTATAATTTGTGGAGGGGAAAGGAAAAAAAAAATGTTTAAATAGGGATACAGATGGACCCATTGTAACAATGAGATGTACAATACTTTATGTGGAAAAACAAACTTTACAACTTTGGGGGAGGGGTGGGCAGGCGGGGATGAGGTGTTGGTTGTGGGGGCGGGGGAAGATGGGAAGAGATGGGAAGGGGAAACAAAGGAAGAGGCAACAATACTTGATAAGAAATGTACTCATTATCTTGCTCATGTAATTGTAACCCCTCTGTATGGTATTTTCACAATAAAAAAGAAAGAAAGAAAAAAGAAACACAGCAAACCAAAATAAAACATCAAGGAAGGTGATCTAGCTTATAGTGAGGCATGATGAGTGGCTGAATAAAATGGGGGTATTGAAGAGGAATATTTTTTCAAAAAATTGTGAAGACATGAACTATACAACTTGTGGGTGGAGATGGGAGGAAGGGCCTGGGAGAGAGTGAGGGAACAGATGACATTGTATGAAAGGAAAGGTCATGTAATTGTAATCCCTCTGTACATAACCTCTATGATAACAATAAATCAAATTAATAAAAACTGTGAAGACATTTAAAAAGTCAACGATAGTTGCAACATATATAGCAAAATAATTACGGTTATAAATGTTTATGATAGACCTAATGAGGTAAAATGCTAAAACACAATGCCACGCCTTCAGTTGTATATTTCATACACATAAAAAACATTTTGCTGCACTGGGTTGAATTCAATTTCCATTAATGAGTAAATTATTATCTTCAATGATTAGAGTTTAATTTGTGCATTTATTTCCCAATGAAGGTCATCGAACACTATTTATTGGAGTTCATGTGCCTCTGGGAGGAAGAAAAAGCCATCGACGTCACAGGCATCGCGGTCATAAACACAGAAAGAGGGACAGAGAGAGAGATTCAGGATTGGAGGATGGAAGAGAGTCACCTTCTTTTGGTAAGCATTATTCTCATAATGATATTTATGTTTATAACAATATACTAGCTTCTAGAATCCATGCTTAGTGATAACACGTCATTCAAGTGATTTATATTTTCATAAGACTATTTTTATAAGAAGAGAAATGAAATTCTTTTTTTTTTGTTGGTCATGGGGTCTGAACTCTGGGCCTGGGCGCTGTCCCTCAGCTCTTAAGCTCAAGGCTAGTGCTCTACCACTTGAGCGACAGAACCACTACTGGCTTTTTCTGCTTATGTGGTGCTGAGGAATCGAACCCAGGGCCTTATGCATGCAAAGCAAGCACTCTACCACTGAGACACCTTCCCAGCCCAGAAGTGGAATTCTTGATCTTTTTTTAAACCTCTGTATTTTCTTCTTTGTTTATTGAGAATTGATTCAGCTTTATGATAATACTATTAGAATAGTAAAATTTAGTTTTACAAACTATTGATAACATGCAAGAATAATTGTTGTTGCTCTAAGTTGTTTAAAAAATCAAGGGGAAATTGTGTTTGTTAAGTTTCCATTGGCACTATTGCTGATTCTGCCCGAATTTCACTTACAGCAATGTTCTACTGTTTTGAGTATTTTTCCCTGGGAAGTACATGCGGAATACTAGAACATGTATTTTATAGTTTTAAAAAACCCCAAGTGCCACAAGAGCATAACCAAGAGTAGGGCTTCCAATTCTTACCGTTTTAATCCTTTAGGTTTTTCTTTTACTGTACATGCTTGTATACCATTCACAGTCTTTCCAACCCTCATCACTAATTCACTCACCCAATTCTTGACTTCTGGTTTCTCACCTTCGTGCTTTCTTGTGCACTTATTTGACAGCTATACTTTTTTATACATATTTTTTATCCTTCATTCTGATTTCCTTTCCTTATGTGGCTTATGTCATGTAATTTCAGTAACACCTTGCTAGAATAATACTTTCTACTCTGATTTGTTAATACCTTCACTCCATTTTAAAAACTACACTTTTATGTGTGCGGAGGTTGTTATCATTGTCCATTTTCTTCCTGCCGCCTTCTGTGGGCATCTTGTCCTGCAGAGTCATACAGAAGGGAAGAGTGTAACCATTATAAATTCACAACCCTACTGAGGCTGCAGCCCTTCCAATCTATTTTACTGCATATATTTGGTTTTCTAAATCACCATATTTTTTCACCTTTCTTCTCCACTGTCCTAAATCTATTATTTTCACCATAATTTAGCAGACTATCTACATTTGCACTGGCTTTTACTCCCTACCGCAGAGTGTGGGGTCACTAACCAGTGTGCCTTCCACAACCTTAGCTCTTTGCTGCTATTCTCATTGGGTTGACATCCAACACCATCTAAGATTAAAAACAACAATCCCTCCCACCCACCCCCCCCCCCCCAGCCCCACCAAACCAAACCAAACCAAACCGCTGTCTCTTGTGAGCCCTCATGTCATTTCTCCTCAAGAAATGATTATAACATGTCTCCATGCCTTGTCATTATTCCTCCTTTTCAGGTCTCTGTCTGGACCAACAGATTCCTTTTTAAGATGACACTTGGCTATAGTATTTCAACATATGAAGAGTGAAAAAATGGATTTTTATCTCCAATGTTGGCCACTTAGTGGTCATTTGTCAGTTTAAATCCTCACCCTGGATTAAGGCTTGTGTGAATTGTGGGTTTGTCCTGCATTGAGGAATGCTTGTCTGTTGACAACCAGAGTTGCCTGACTACCATGTGGTTGAGGTTTCCTGTGACCCTCTTTTCTATTTTAAATAGTTTCTCAGGCTTTTTCAAACCCACACTCCATTTATCCATTCTAAAATGAAGTAAGTTACCTGCATATAAAACTTTGATGTAGCATTTTGCTTTAAAACTCTGTATTGTTTTATGTAATACCTGCTTTTATTGTTACAAAGAAGTCCTTGTCTCCATTGTTTTTATGTTTTATGTTTACATCTTTTAAGCTTGAATTCTTACAGACATTTTTGTATGTATCTTTAATTAAGAGAATTTGCTGAGATATATGAAAGGTGTATTTATAAACCTTCCTACTCTGCATACTGTTGATATTTTTTTCCATTGAGGGAACATTTTCTTTTATATCTGATGCTATCCCATTTGCTCTGATGTCTTCATTGTGCATATTAATTATCCACATATTGGATTTTCAGTGTCTGCAGCTTGTTTTTACTCTGTAAACTTTTCTCTCATATTTCCATTTGAATACCTATAATATTCATTTTTTTGCTTCTGCAACTACTTTTAATTTTGCTGCTAATTTTTCCTTTTCTTGCATTTTTCTTATTATTCAAGTATTTTCTTTCTCTTCCCACCTGTCCATTCCTAATTACCTTTTGTGATTCTATATTTTATAGTCTAAAAAAGATCCCCAGATTTTTCTTGACATAGTCTATTTATCCTGAAGTAATTTTTATAACTATCAATATAATTTTTGATCTCTACTGATTTGTACCTCATTTGCAGAGTCTTTTTGTTCATTTTTAAGCCAGACAAGGTATATCCTAGCTATCGTTCTTCAACCTATGTAAGCAGACTGCTACAATATGCTTCTTGTCTCTATTACTGAGTTAAAACTTTAAACTCATATAACACGTAACTTCTGCCACAGGTACAACAGTTAGTGGGGTAGTATGAAAAGAAATATACTCTAGCATTCTACTCCAGCATGATACAATTGTTTTGTTCAGTGAGTCAGTGGGAATGGGTTGAGGATGTATTGTTTTATTGTTTTCAGTGTTGCTTGTGTCATGAATTTTGAGAGTATAATAGAGAGAAACTTCATGTAGTTTTCATACTCACGCTTTGTTGATAGTCAGTAGAGTCATCCTCTTACACTCTGGGAAAGGATATCTGTTGGACTAAGCTTTAAATACTTTTATTACCATTCTTCAGTCAGTTCCGTTGCCTAAATAATCAGTTACTGAGACACTTGCTGAAACTGAAGCCATGGTCTAAACATCGTCCCAGTTGATCTGGGATTTGCTATTCTGCACAGTAAGGAAATACGTGATTCTTATACTGAAGCCTTCAAGAGAAATTTCTTACTTAAAAAATATTTATTTTACTTGGAAAGATTCTTTCTCCCCCAAATCTTTTGAAAATAGCACTGCAGGTGACTCATAACTTGTCAGAATTTAATTTTCAAAGAGATACAGAGGAGGAAATGAGAGAACATCAGGCCCCTCGATTTTGAGAACCTGAGGTTTTATGTTATAAATCGGAGTATGAGCAATTAGTGACCAGAGAAATTAGTGCCCACAGTAGCAGCAGACATCAGTTTTTTTTTAATCTTATTTCATTGACTTACTTATTACTTGTATTGGATTTGAACCCAGGGCTTTCAGCTTGCTTGTCTTGCTGGCTCAGCTGTCATTCTGTCACTTGTGCCATGCTTCAGACCAGCTTGTTGCTGGTCATTTTGAAGATGGAATCTCATGGATTTTCCCACATTGAACAGTGACCCTTGAGATATCAGACTCATGAGTAGCTAAGATTACAGACATGAGCCATAGGAGCCATGTACATTTTGGTCCTATTGAAGTTTTGTCATTCCAATCTGTGAGCAATAACAGTACACCCTATTTAGTTATATTATATGACCCAGTCATGGAATGCAGTGCTGTTAGAAACATGGCTGTCTGAATGCTTCATCCAAGTAAAAGAAAAGCCCACAGATTATGCTTATTTCATAGACATGCAATGCTTCATTGCAATGCACCAGATGCAGTAGTTAGAATGTGATGCAACTCTGGTTGTGGAAGAATGATGATGCTGTCATCATGATGATACAAAGACCTTTTGATGCCCACGAATAAGTTTATTTTACTTATGGAAATATAAATACAATAATTTGCATTTAAGAATAAATAGTGATTAGTTCGTTATTGTGCTGTAAACAAACCCCCAACAGCAGAAAATTTGTAAAATTTTACATTGTGCTATTTTCAATGCTATTTTTTGTACTCATTTTGTATTATGTGAAATTATATTTTCAACTGGGAACATGAATGAGCTATTTAAAAATGATCGGTTTGAGCCGAGAGCTGGTGGCTCACACCTCTAATCCTAGCTATGCAGGAGGCAGAGATATGAAGATCATGGTTCAAAGCCAGCCTGGGCAGGAAAATCTGTGAGACTCTTATCTCCAATAAACCACTAGAAAACCAGAAGTGGTGCTGTGGCTCAAGTGGCAGAGTGCTTGCCTTGAGCTGAAGAGCGCAGGGACAGAGCCCAAGCCCAGAGTTTAAGCGCTATGGCTGACAAAAATAAATATATAAATACGTAAATACATAATAAATGATCAGTTTGAATCATGAGCTTTAAGTCAGTAAAATTATAAAAGATGATGATAGAAATTCAGAACACATTAATGCTAATTTTTCCCTCATCCTCCCAAAGAGGATTATACAAATCCTGTTAGTTCACTAATACAAAGTGAACTAATCAATAAGTAATATAAATAAAGCTGTGTTGAAAATAGAGCATGCAAAGGTGCTATATAAATTAGCCTCTCTGTGCTCAAAGCTAGTGCTCTATCACTTGAACCATAGTACCATTTCTGTCTTTTTCTGAGTAGTTTATTGGAAATAGTCTCACAGACTTTCCTGCCTGGGGTGGCTTTGAACCACGATCTTCAGAGCTCCACCTCAGTTATTTCTATTTTAAAAGTGAAAAGTTAGAGACAGAAAAACATGTCATTGAACAGTTTTTCCCACTTTAATAACTTATTTCCTATGGCATTTCTGCTATCATGTGTCTTAGAGAAGACTTTTCATACAGTAGAAGTGTGAGAATATTATTTTTCTGAGTTGTTTTGTGACTATTATCTTCAAGGTTGGTAGCGAATAATCTTTCTTTCTTTCTTTAATTAATTAATTATTTTTTTGGGGGGATCGTTTGTGGGGCTTGAACTCTGGGCTTGGGCACTATCCCTCAGCTCTTCAGCTCAAGACCAGAGCTCTACCACTAGAGCCACAGCAGCACTT